AGAGATGTACTTCATAATCAGGAATGACTTCATTTTTGATCAAAATATTGACTCAGAAAAAGCATGTATTATTGAAAATAAAAGAATAATTAGCTTAATACAACCTCACAAAACATATAGGAGATTGATATTTCATAATCTAAGAGAAAAACACTTCATTCATAGTTTCTTATTTCTCTATCAATCCCTGATGATAAAACCCATCATTTTACAATGATCATTTGATACCAAGTTGAGAAAGATATAATTACCTACCTAATTTAAAGAGCTATAGTGATAAATATGTATCAAATATCCGTGTAAGCACACGTTTTAGGAGAGAAGTAACACATTTTATTATCATGTGTAAAAGAATGAATGAATTATTATAAGGGAAATACATACAGATACCTAGGCAAACAAGGTATTTTGTCACTTTATATTAATATCTCTCCTTTCATACAACAAAAGGAGAGATAAGTGTCTTGAATTAAGATATTTGCATGGTTTGAAGAGGTGAAGCCCCATTCAAAACATGTAAATTTTCATTGTTAAATAAGCCTGGGTCAAATCTACACTTCTTCTCCCTGTGTGTGTTGGTGGGGAGGAGATTGGGTCAGTGGCATTTGAGGGCTACTACCAGTTTTATTCTCTGGAGTCACTCTTGTTTGATGTTCAGGAGACCAAGAGATACTGGGAACCAAACCTGGGTCACTTGCATGCAAAATATGATCTAAGTCAGTCCTTTGAGCTATCTCTCTACTTCAAAGCTAGATTTTTTAAAAAATACATTCAAGAGTTAAAATTTTGAAAGCACATAAAGTGCTTGTTCTGCAGTATGGAAATCAGATATAGTTAACATTTTCAACAGCTTAGTTCTTGATCATACTATGACTACTTTATAAACTACAAGTATTTATATGATCAGGGCCATATGACATTTTCCTTTATTCACTTTACTGAACAAACACATAGCGTTTATCAAATGTCAAGCTCAGAACACTCCAATGAGGACAAAACTCATACCTCTTGCCAAGAAGTAGCATGGCAGTTATGGGTAAGTGCTAGAACATGAAATGACACTACCCAATTTGGAATGTCAATTCTGCCACCTGTGAGTAAGTAATTTTCGGCAAAGTATTTCATTTCTCTAAGTTTTAGTTTCCTCATTTGAAAGTGGGTCTAATAGCAGCATTGACCTTACGAGGTTATTTTCATGTATAAAAAATGTAAAGCACTTAGGAAAATACCTGACACAAGTCCTTAAAAGTTCTTAACTGTTATTATTATCATCATTAATTCTTCCTGCCATATTTATCTAAAAATGTGGAATTTGAACTACTTATAGTCATGGTAAAAACTATGCTAATTGTTTACAGACTGAATGAATGAACTGCAAACATATTATTGGAACACTTTTGGCTTTTAATGAATGGAACTTCTTACTGAGATCATAAACATGATATGCACATATCATGATATGCGCATATCATGAGTCCACAGTATGCACTAAGGAGTTTTAGGTTGGGATAATACTGGGAAATGGAGGCATGTGGGCATTTGGTTCTTTTCCTCAGACAAACTGCTTCTGGATATTAAGTGCTAATCACATTTGAAGGTGCTGTGTACAGAAGGGCACTTTAGTTGAATGCCTGTATACAAACCAGTGTGAAAAGAATAAAAAGGTGTTCCAGTGTAAACAATCTTAGAATAATGACTGAAGAAGGCAAAGTATTCATGGAAAAGGATTCATTTTGATTATAGATAGGACCAAGTTGTAGAGTCAGTTTAGAAGAAAAATACCCCTTCTATTTGGTCTCATGTATATTAATCTTTTATAGTAAAACTTTTGTTTATTTGGGCAGTTTTTATTTTTACAAGTACAGAATCAAGCGTGGTCACATGGGCCTAGCACTGGCAAAAGTCAAAACTCTAGTTTTGTAAACCCCACTGCTAAATGAAGGCAATCTCCTCATAGAGGGACTATTAGTAGACATCTCTATTATTTTTGTTAGGTCATATCTAAATTCATCCCCTATTTTATTTTGGGGTAAAAGGTTTTCTAGAAAAAAATACCTTATCAAAACACTTACTTTTCAAAGGGAGAGTGTTAACTAAATATTTTCAGAAACTGAGAAAAGGAATATTCACTGGGTCCTATTGTAACATGAATATGAGGAAAAATATTTATCCACTTGACTATTAGCTTATTAGTTAAAGTTGTATTTTTGGAGAATTTGTATTTGAATAATTTGTGTCCTGTGTTAACAAACTTGACTCCATTCCACATGAGTTTCAAAAGTAGCAATCTACTATTTTAATTACAGTTAGTAGAGATTTACTAATTGGCATATGTATTTTTGATTCTGTAATACTTGAATTACCATGTAGTTACTTTCCAAGTACATATATGTATTGGTAAAATACAAAAAATTTTTAAAAACTTTTTCCTAACTCTTTTCTTGATTTGATGTCATTTTAGAAAAATATCTTAAGGAACCTACTGTATTACGGATTCCTTTGGTAAGTGGTTCTCATTCTTTACTGGGAAGATGTAGGTTCAGATTTTCTGATAATCCAAATGGAGTTAAGTTAATGGACTTTTGATCAAAAACCCTGAATTGCCACAGCAGAGTTAGAGAAGTCTAATCACTCACTTCCTAAGATGTGTGTATGCACACGTGTACATGTGTGTATACACATATACACACAGTGCTGAGAGGCAAAGTGAGCCAGGCACATACATTATGTGTATATACAGTCACTTTGTCTGTCTGTACTGTATTTCTTGAGTCTGTGGAAACTAATGAACTATACAATTCCCAAGTTTGAAAATGCATCCAGTTACATATAGACATCAAGAGCTGAGAGATTTAAAAACAGAGCAGAAAAAAGTAACTTGAACAGAATGTGGCATTTCCCTTGGTCTGTTGCTAACGGCCCACATACAACATGCTTAAAAAAAACCTACCCTGGCACTTTCCATCATCATTTAAAAATGATTCAAATGGACATTTAGAATGCATGGCACTAAGAATGTATCCTATCTGGGAATAAAGGATAAAGAGCTTCTTTAAGCAGGGCCAATGTGTTTTTGTGATTGTCCTGGTAAAGTTGACGCTTATTTGGTTTCTTGGACCATGATTTTTAAAGTTAATTATGAGATTTTAATTGTATACTTTTAGAACCCCCCTACCCCCAATAGAAACTCAAAACATTCCTTTTAGTATGAAAAGCCAATTGTGCCTATGAGTTTTTAAAATGCAGTGAGAATCTGAACATGTGAAAGAGACATGTAAAAAGGAATGACTTCATTCTCTTTTTATTCTACATTTAATTTTAAAACCCAATACACAGTATTTAATTGCAGTGCTTCGCCAGACAGTTTGGACTCTTAGCTGTTACCTTTGGGGTCCTTGTTTCCTGGATATTGTCCCATTTGGAATTCATCCAGATTCCAAGGACTGGGTTTGCCATATAGGCATACACAGTCTGCACTCTAATTGAAACTTCTATAAACTAATACCATGAGTCTACAACCAGCCAATGATTTGGGCACCTTTTAAGATCTTTCTTCCACCAGCAAACACTTCCTACTGATAACCGTTCTTAAAAAAAAAAAGTTTAAGCTATATTTAAGACTACATTGAAAAGGGCAAAAAAGTAATTGGGGCTAAGGTGAAATGAAAAATGGACAAGTCATGGAATATATTTGCTCACTATTCCGGTAAATCTGAAGTAATGGGGCTCATATCCTCAGTTTGCCTTAGTCTCAAGATTTTGGTAAGAAGAACGTTACACGGTAGGCATGATATGTTAATACCCTCAGCTAAAAATAGAAAACACCCTAGGGGAAAACGTTCCCAGTCCCGGATCTTTACTTCCGGCGGGGTGTTGATGCTCCATCGCTAAGCATTGTTTTAGCACCGCACACCTGGACTCATCACAACAGTATAATCTAGGCACCCGGGCTTCGGAGAATTTCATTCAATTTACATACGATCCTCCCCATCCTCCTCGGGTGAGCGGGACGTGAAACCGGACACTGCCTCATCTCCCCAGCTGGCACGGGCTCGGCTCTCGGCGTTCATAGCCCAAGGCTCCGAGCATCCCTCGCGGGAGGCGCGGTGGGACCACGGAGTCGGGAAGAGGGGTGACTGCGGGGCTTGTTGCACCGAAGATTTACAATGTACTTCTTGCAGGCGGCTCAGCAACCCCCTCTGTGGCTGTGGGTGTCTGGTGTGACAGAGCGGAGAAAAGCTCTCTAATCTCCCAGTGTCTGCCTCTGCCGCTCCGCCGCTCCCCACCCTCCCGCCTTCCCTGCCTCCTCGCGCGCGCTCTCTCTCTCGCGCTCTCCTTTGCCTTTCTCCGGGAGTTTCGGTCCCCGAATGCAGCCCGAGTGGCCCTGGCCATAGACCCGGAGCCCGTGTCCACACGCGCACACACGCGCCCACCATGCACACGCACTCACACGCGCGCACTCCCACGGGGAGCCCGAGCAAACCCAGAGCTTCGTCTACCTGAAGGGGGATGGCCCGGCTGGACACTTCTGGCTCACTTGTCGTCTCCGGAGGTCAGAGCGACGTCGCAACGCAGGAGGCCAGCTCTCGGCTCTGCCACGTCCGGCCGAGGGCCCCCGTCGCCGCTTAAAGTGTCCAGGGTGGAGGGCGACGGCGGCTTCTCCAGGACAGATTGGAACCGGAGCGGCTCTGCGGCCCTGGGACTTCGCCCGGCCGCTTCCTCCACGAGTGTCTCGGTGCCGGGCTGCGGGAAGCCGGGCTCGGGCACCGCCACCGCCGCCGCCGCCGCCGCCTCCGGCACACCCCACCCCGGGACTGCACGCCGCAGCTGGAGCGCGGGGAGAGCGCGAGCCGGAGGGAGCCGCGGCGCCAACTTCCCTCCTCCCCACCGCTCGGGGTGCCTTCCCGCCGCAGACGGGAGGAAAGTGCGGCGCGGGCGAGCCAGCAGCCGGCGGCACGCAGGGGCAGCCCCCGGGATGCGCTCGGCGGACAAGTAGCGCGCAGCGGGCTCGCCAGACGCTCTCCAAGTTGGGCGCGTCCCAGCGCTCGGCGCCCCGCGCCGGGGCCGCGGGAGTCGGGAGGGAGGCGGGGCCGATGGGGGGCGCCGAGGGGGCCGTCACCTGCGGCCGGAGCCCTTCGTAGGAGAACCCGGCTCAGCCTCCCCAGGGTCTCCGCGGCCGTCGCGCCCTCGGCCCCCTCGTGCGCTCTCCGATGCCGGCGCGGCTGGTGGCCCCGGTGGCCCGCCCGCGGGGGGTGCCGGAGGGGGCGGGAGAGTAGGAGGAGGCAGTGTGATGGCCCTGGACGGCGAGCGGGGGGAGCAAGAGGAGGAGAAGAAAAAGAAGAAGAAGAAAAAGAAGAGGAAGAAGAAGAAGGAGGAGGAAAAGGAGGAGGAGGAGGAGGAGGAGGGGGCTGAGAAGCGCTGCTCACCTTTCGCGGCCAGGATGGGCGAGAACGACTCGGCACTCCGGGCGGGCGGCAGGGGGCTCTCGGACCCGTGGGCAGACTCCGTCGGGGTGCGACCCCGGACCACCGAGCGCCATATCACGGTGCACAAGCGACTCGTGCTGGCCTTCGCCGTGTCCATCGTGGCGCTGCTCGCGGTCACCATGCTCGCCGTCCTGCTCAGCTTGCGCTTCGACGAGTGCGGCACGAGTACAGCGCCGGGCGCCGACGGCGGCCCCGCTGGCTTCCCCGCGCGTGGCGGCAACGGCAGCTTCCCGGGCTCGGCCCCGCGCAACCACCCCGCTGGCGTGGACCCTCCGGCGCCCGGGGCGGGCGGGGAGGCCACCCCGGGGACCCCGTCCGCCCCGCCGCCGTCGGAAGAGGAGAGGGAGCAGCCCTGGAAGCACCTGCGCCTGTCCGGCCACCTCAAACCACTGCACTACAATCTGATGCTCACCGCGTTCATGGAGAACTTCACCTTCTCGGGGGAGGTCAACGTGGAGATCGCGTGCAGGAATGCCACCCGCTATGTCGTGCTGCACGCTTCCCGGGTGGCGGTGGAGAAGGTGCAGGTGGCCGAGGACCGGGTGGCCGGGGCTGTCCCAGTGGCCGGCTTTTTCCTCTACCCACAAACCCAGGTTTTGGTGGTGGTGTTGAATAGAACCCTGGACGCGCACAGGAATTACAACTTGAAGATCATCTACAACGCCCTGATCGAGAACGAACTCTTGGGCTTCTTCCGCAGCTCCTACGTGCTCCACGGGGAGAGAAGGTACGGAGGGAGGCGGTGCCGGGTACCGCCCCACCCCGCCGAGCTGCTCGAACTGGGGGCAGCCGGCGTTCCCGGGGACCCGCTAGCTTCACAGAGTCAGAAATTGAGGGTGGGGAGAAAAGTGAAGGAAAGGTCAGACCCTCACCCATTGCCCTGGAGTTCTCCTAGACGTCTGTGTTTTCCCCGTTAGAAACTCCACTAACTCACTCCCCAGTGCCCAGCGCCAGAAACCACTCTTCTCTAGTCTGGGATCCCCTGCATCCTCAGGTCTGAGTTCCTTAAACAGCCCGCCCAATGGATCTTTTATAGAAGGGTCGGTTTTTGCTTGTGTTTCTGCTTTTAGAAGTATAATCTGGAAAGTGCAAATGTCCTCCGAAACCTGCCAACCAAGTGACCATCCAGGGAAACATCCCGGAGTGCCCAGAGGTTAGGGCAGCCAGCACTAACGCCCCAGTAAAGGGTTGGGGTAGGGCGAACAGGTTAGCACCTTTCTTTCTGGAATCTCACTGTCTCCTAGCCTCTCACCACCACCTGGCAGGTATAGAGCAGAGGATGAGCTTTGCCTGAATAAAGTTTTTCAAAACTGGGAGTTCAGATTTGAAGCGGGTCCAGTGGGTCCCAGAGGCTAAAGAAGGATAAAGGAGTGGGGTGGGAGTGTGTGTTGCCGAGGGGGCGTGTGGTGGATCATTGATGGCCATGGTCAATGCAAGGGAAAGCTGCCCTTCCTTGCAGGGGCTGCAAGTCTTCAAAGGCAGAGTGCCTCCAGTTGTTTGTTCCTTCTCAAAAAGATTCCCGGGCAAGGAAGGAAAGCTGGCTGCCAGCCTCCAGTGTCTTGTTAGTGAGTGCCCTGAACCTCCAGATTTGGGCAGTTTTTATTATTTCTGAGAAGCTGTGGGAACTCTACAGTAGTTGTTGAGAGCACAGACTTTGTGCTTCATCAGAACTGAACTCAGATCCCAACTGTAGAATTCTAGTCTGGTTGCTGTGACAACTTGAAGTGGTTGTTTAATTGAAGTCACCTGTTCCTGACAAGTATGACTTCTCATCATTGACTCCTGATCATTGTCCCTCTTCCTACTGTCCCCCAGGTAGTATCTCAGTTCTATAAGTAAACTATGCAACAGTGTTATTACCCAGTTTACAACTGGGGAAATGAAGGTACTGGGAAATTGAGTAACTTTGTCACACAGTGAACCCCTGGAGAAGGGGCACAGACTCAGGCTCTTTGGTTCAGGGTCCAGACTTTCAGTGTTACTTGGTACTAATCATCATATTGTTATCATAAGATTGTTTCAGGTCTCCATGAGTAAATGCACTGAAAAGCACTTTAACAGGTACCTGGCACCAGGAGTGCCTTTGCAAATGTTAGTGATTATGAATGTCTGGAGATGGAAAATTCTTAAGTGTATTCTTGGATGAATAAGTAGTCTTGCTCTGCTCTATTTCTTTTGATATAACTTCACTGAATTAAGTGGCCATGCAGCCGGTGAACAACTGAAATAAACTTAAAAAATGGAATAGACAACTTAGATGTGCAGTAAGGTTGAAAGTTAGCAAAGGTGTCACTGGTTAAGCCTTTTCTTTCTTTGTGTATGTGTGTGTGTGTTATTTTAGCTTAGCTGGGGGGGGGCATGGAAGGGGTCATGGGCATACCTGGTGCTCAAGGATCACTCCTGGTGGTTCAGGGAACTGAACCTGGGTTGGTTGTGTGCAAGGCAGGTTGGCTGTGTGCAAGGCTGTGCTACTGTTCCAGCCCCAAGCCTTTCCTTTCTTAAGGGTGTCTCACTGTAGCAGCAAACCTCTGCTCAGAGGTGCCCAGAGACACCAGGTCAACAGGCTTGGTCAGTGAAGAGCTGGGGCTGGAACTTTGGTTTTCTGATCCTTGCACATGGGCTCATTGTGTCTGGAAAGTCCCCAAACAACTATGATAGTGTAAGAAGATGGGAAATGTCATTGTGCTATGAAGATTACAAACATTTTGAACTTTATTGAGTGCTTATTAAGTAATCTCATATAATTGCTTACTACTTCTGTAGTTTTGATAGTTAAAACCACCTGTACATATATATATATTTATATATATATATATTTTAACCTCAAGCACCGAGGATCGGAATGGATAACTTCATTTTCCTTTCACCATATTCTCCCCATTCAACCAATATATTCTAAAGAAAACAGGTTAAAAAATACATTTTGAAATTCACATAATATCAACTATAGAAGAAAAGCTGTAGAAGGAAAATTTGCATGTTAAGTTCAGAAACAAGTTTGTCATGTTAAAATGTCAGTAGTGGGAGTAGTATACCATCACTATATATCTTGCATTGGTAAAAGAAATACTTGCATAAAATCCTGCTTTTAGAGCAATGCCAAAATATAGTTGGTGGAACTGAGTTGTTTTGGTCAGTGCTTTCAAATTAACAGCACTCTTGAAAAGACCAGATGTTTCTGCTTGACCCATAACTGATTTTTGGACCTGAAGTACATATTTGTATTCAAACTCTTTCCTCAGTTTTCCCCAAAGATGTAAATAACTTGGTTGGAAGTTTAACCTAGAGCACATGTGGCTTAACTCTGCATCCCAATGGAAATAAGGGATTGGCCTTTCAAGAAATCATAAGATGTTTTAAATTTCTAAATAGCGTCTTAGAAAAAGTCCTTGTTCCTGTTTTCTGACCTCTTTTCAATGTAAGAGTAAATATTATAATTTTTTGATATTTCTACTGAAATTGATACGTTAAAGAAATGTACTGAAATATTTCACAATTATGCCAACATTGCACATACTAATCTATTGGAGGGGGTTGTTGTTCCTATAACTATTTATAAACTTTTAAATATGCCAATATGAGCCACTAACTCAACCAGAGTTGGATTTTTGTTGGTAAGAATTTTGAATGGAATATAATGTAGTATCTAATGACATTTTAAAAACACTTTTGAAAAGGATGGAGATGTAAACTCTAATTTTCATTTGATTAATGATTAAATATCTTTGTCATTAGTTATTCATAATTTTCGCCAATTAATTAGTGAAAGTAAATATTTAATGGGCCAATGGGGAGCCACATTATGCTACTTGAAATATTTTAAAGATAAATATTACAATTCAGCCCACCTGACTTAGCCTATGTGGAAAAAAGACAGATATACCTAGTCAACCTTCACTTTTTGACTCATTCCTAAAGTCTGAGAGTAAGAATTTGGATGAGGGTAGGAAACAGATTTCTTCATTATGTGCTGAGTTCCTTTGATCCCTAGAAGGCTTTCTCTCCCATTAGGTGTTGAAGGTGATCTGGTTTTGTCCTCCAGGGAGAACTTAACCTTTCTTACACTCCTCTGTGGTGGTTAAAAAAAGAGGAGAAGCTCCAATTAAAGTTCAAGTTTCCTCTACTGGAGTCAAGTGCTCTACAGTCTGTTCATCTGACTAGAAGGAAAGCCATCACTTGCTGAGTATTGCAAATGAATTAATGTAGATTTGAAATGTTTGCACACAGTAGTCAATTATCTTCATTAGACAGTATACACTTTCCCTGTTTTCTCAGGTAGGCACGTAGAAGCAGATAAAGGAGGTGTGTATTTATGCTGTGGCATCCTGTAGTAACATATACTAGCTTAGAATTAGGCAAAACATTCTTTTACCTGAAGTAATTGCTTCTTTGGGGTAGCCAGATGGTGAGCATACCCATGTTCAAAGTAGGGTACCTTAATTTAGATCCAGATGGTAGATTGAAAGAGGAAATTTATCCAATGTAAATGAACATTTTATTCACTTTCAAAAGGGAGACTCTTTTTCTTTGACAAACTTTGATTGAGTCTTTAACATGCTGCTGTGACAGTGGCAGTATAAAAATAGGAGATCTTTTCTATAATCGGTTATTTGAAGGGAAACATGGTCTGTGAGTATGTTTTATACTCACAGAAAGTTAAAAAAGTTAAACTTTGTGGTTCTCAAAGAATTTTGCAAAAATAAAATACTTCTTTGAAAAGACTCTTGTGGATCTTATGGTCCAGCATATGATCATTGTGGTATTCATGTACCATAATAATGCCTTCTATATTTATTTATGAACTTAATTAATGACCATGATATTTAGTAAAAATGAGGAAGCCTTCACGTTGTTTCAATGTTGATGGCAGTCTCATTTTTCTCACTCAGCCTGGTGAGCATGATGGAGTTAATGACTTTTGTCACTTCATGGAAGACCCTGAACTGAAAAATTTGTGAGATCTCTGAGTCTTGTTGAAAAGTTTTGAAAGCAACTCTAAAAAGGACTATGTGTGGTGGATCTCTCCCAGAAGAACACAGGACTGTGACTGGATACCTCACATCGGATTTATATGACATGCTGATTTTCTCAAATCAAATTGGGTCACTACTTATGTGGATCAACTTGAGGCAAGAGTTCAGGACAACTGTGCTGATTTGTTCAAGAATGCAGATATTTATCTGATATGAATACAAAGAATAGGATTTACTTTTTTAAGCATAGTTGTAAAAAATGATATAAAAATTGTGGGGAAGAAATAATTTAGCATTAATATATAAGCGTTGTATAGTCCAAAAGGAAGTGTTTCTCTTTCACTTCATGTTTATCCTTCCATTCATTAGAAATGATAATAATCATCTTTGTCATCATAGTATTTCAAATTATTTGTGAGAAGAATTCCTTTCATTTGTCACATGCTTCCAGGTTTATAACAATGACTGGGATCCTCCAGAGATTTCTGTCTCATGCAGTCCTGCTTTTTGCCACTAGAGAGTGGATGGAGACTCCAGTAGAGAGAACTGCATTAGGAAGATACAAAGATGAAATAAACAAGCAAAAAATGAAAATAATCTCCCTCTCTTTTCAGTTTTTTGAACATTTTGAAATGATTCACCCAGAAACAGCAGGATGGTGGTGTTAGTGATAGAGGTGGCCTGACAATAGAGTAAATTCTATCAGATTGGCTCTGGTGAATTGGGGTTAAATTAGGGAAAATACACCTTCCCT